CTGCTCATTAAAAATACTTGTGAATTTTTTGGCGGTATGCCTTCATCTTAGTTTTCATTCTTTGGATATAAAATAATATATAATGCAGAAGAATTTAAAGTTATTTTAATGCGGTTGTGAATAATTATATCACAGTATTTATTAATGCATTATGAAAATCAGATCATGGTGTGCATATTGCTATTTCCTTCTGAATGAAAAATTATGTTAATATTTTTGAAAGATTATGTAAGAAAGAACCCAAACACTTTTAATTAAGCATGGTAAGGTAGAAGCTATTGGAGAAGTCGTTGCAATATAGATACAATCTTTCAGTTTCAGGTCTTATACCTGAAAATAGCTTTATAGTAATCTCGGCTCCTGTAATTGATACACTGTCAAAAAGATGGGTTGTGGTTATTGCATGTGTTTGTCCAGCAGGAGGCGTACAATAACTGCTAGAAAGGAAGGAAGTTGTTATGAAATTGATTATGAGAGATTATGGTTATGAGAGATCCTAGCAGAAGAAAAATTTATATTTTGAGTGAAACAGCATATGAGTTACTTTGCTAGCTTTGGTGATTTTCAGAGGCTCAGACTGGAAAATTCTTTGTTTTGCATCCTTATTAAAAAAACAAGGTCAGGCAGTCTGTATCTTTTAGGAAGTATTCAATATTGTGGATAGTGAGATGAGAAGAATGAATGTTAATCTTCTCATGTCTGTGTAGTTACTCTCTACAGGACTGTGCTGGCACAGATTCTATGCACAGCTGGTAAAGCAGAAGAAAATAAGTGCTTTGGCAGTATATTTTACCTGATTCATAGAAAGCTTTTTATCTTCTTGTGAAAGAAGTTTCGGTGATACATCCTATTTGCTAGAATTGTTGCTGGAAAGAATGTCACAGCAAGAACACTGACATACGAAAACTTAAACTAATTTTCTCTGGTTTAGTTTTTTTTTTTTTTGTCCTGGTTCTGCAATTATCCACTGCATAATATGAAAATATTGTTCCTTAACGTGATTTTTAAAGTGTTCTGAGCTCTACTGCTAGAGGCATTGAGGGAAGCATTGAGGAGACCTGCTCTGTCTGAGATTCAGCTTTCCGAGTTCCAGATAAAAAGTGTTGAGAAATATTCATTAGACTCAGTGAGAAATAGTTATTACAAAATTATGTAGTAATTAGTATTACAGAATTACAGAATAACTTAGGTTGGAGAAGATCTTCAAGATCATCTAGTTCAACCATTAACCCAACTCTACCAAGTCCAGCACTAAGTCATATCCCCAATCACCACATCTAGACAACTTTTAAACACATCCAGGGATGATGACTCAGCCATCTTGCTGGACAGCATGTTCCAATGCCTGACAACCCTTTCAGTGAGAAAGTTCTTCCTAATGTCTAGTCTAAACTTCCCGTGGTGCAGCTTGAGGCCATTTGCTCTTGTTCTATCACCAGTTACTTGTGAGAAGAGACCAGCGTCTGCCTCTTTACAATGTCCTTTCAGGTAGCTGTGGAGGGTGATGAGGTCTCCCCTCAGCCTCCTTTTCTTCAAACTAAACAGCCCCAGGTCCCTCAGCTGCTCCTCCTAAGACTTGTTCTCAGTCCCCTTCACCAGCCTTGTTGCACTTCTTTGGACACACTCCAGTACCTTGATGCCTTTCTTTTATTGAGGTGCCCGATACTGGACACAGTATTCGAGGTGTGGCTTCACGAATGCTGAGTATAGAGGGATGATCACCTCCCTGGTCCTGCTTGCTGCATTATTTCTAATACAAGCCAGGAGGCCATCAGCCTTCTTGGCCACCTGGCCACACTGCTGGCTCATGTTCAGCTGCCTGTCAGTCAGAACCCCCAGGTCCCATTCTTCTGGACAGCTTTCTAGCCACTCTTCCTTAAGCCTGTACTGTTGCATGGGGTGGCTGTGGCCCAAGTGCAGGACCTGGCACTTGGCTTTCTTGAATCTTATACAGTTGACCATAGCCCATCGATCTAGTCTGTCCAA